CCAGACCCTCAAGCTGGCGGCCAGGTACATCGACTTCCTCTACCAGGTCTTACAGAGCGACGAGCTGGACTCCAAGATGGCAAGCTGCAGCTATGTGGCCCACGAGCGGCTCAGCTACGCCTTCTCCGTCTGGAGGATGGAGGGCGCCTGGTCCATGTCCGCCTCCCACTAGCAGGGACGGGGCCCCCGCCGCACCCCCCGGGCAAGGAGACCTAGGTAAGGCCTGGGCTGGGTGGGCACCTCCTGCCTCTTTCTTTTTGGGCGGGGGGGATGGGGGGAGACACAGGGAAGCTCGGGGTCCTCCTCCTCCTGGGCTGGGCACCGCAGGGCACGTGTGTGCCCTACACAGTGCCCAGCGCAGGCCCTTCCTCCAAGCCAGGCCTGGGAGGGGGTTGGGGCTGCTTTAGTCACCAACCCTTTGCAGCCCGTTCATTTTTTTTAACTGAAAAGGAAGGGAGGAAACTTCGCCTAGGGGATGTTTCCCAATGTGCCCGTCCCAGCTCCAGGCCCCCATCCATCCCCCTCCCCTCCGGCCTCGAGTTGCTGCACATTGTTTCGTGGTGGCGTGTCCCATCCCAGCGCCTGCAAAGCAGCGGCACCGATGACTCTTTCTTTTTTTTTTTTTTCCTTCCCCTTTCTCCTCACCTACAGCCCCACGCGTCTCTCTCCGGTTTCAGTAACCAGCCTTTCCTCCCCCTCTCTGGGTTTTTGCAGATTTCCCAAAGAAGGAGACAATGGACAGTCTAGAGACTCTGAAGTCGGATTAAAAAAACCCAATTAAAACAGAGTATGCCAAGGATTGTCTGGGAAATTAGAAGAGCTAAGTGAAAACTCAAGCAGGGCGTGGGGAGCACTTAGAGAAAAGGACACAAGGGGTCTTGGACAGTGACTTCCCAGTGGGCTCTGCACAACCCACCTATCTCTGCATTCTGATAGACGTCTGAACAGATGCTTTTTTTTTTTTTGGTTTTTTTTTTTAATTTTGACGAAGAATGTTGGAATTTTACTTTTTTTT